TTTTTTTTTTTTTTTAATGGAATGATGTTAGAGGAAAGTAGCCAATCAAATGTGACTAAGATTAAATTGAATGAATTTAAGATTTATGCATTTTGTTCATCTTAAAAGTCAGAATGCTTTGAATCAACACTGGTATGCGTGGTAAGATTGTTCAGTTCCCGGGGCACCTGGGTGGCTCGGTCGGTTAAGTGTCCAACTCCGGCTCAGGTCATGATCTCGCAGTACGTAAGTCTGAGCCCCATTTTTGGGCTCTGTGCTGACAGCTCAGAGCTTGGAGCCCACTTCAGATTCTGTGTCTCTCTGCCCTTCCCCCGCTCACATACTGTGTACCTCTCTCTTTCCCTCTCAAAAATAAATAAACATTAAAAAAAAACTGTTCAGTTCCCCCTCAACAACGGAGAAACAACATGGCTATCCAAAATCTTACATTCACAAATGACAGAACAAAATAAAGCACTGAGGGCAAACAATTTCCACTGGCAAAGTGGTCATTGGCAAGTAAGAGAATTCATTTTAGCTGCACTGGGGGTTCTGCATCAAACCAACTTTTGGACCAAACTTAGAGTGAACATAATCTCGTTTTTTATACTACAAAAGAAAGCCTCTGTGTGTGTGTGGTTTTTTAAATACACAAATCTAACATCTGGACCTTTTCAACCCTCAGGGAGAGCTAGGTGAGCAGCCTTTAGAGAGGCTCCAAATTCCTTTCAGTTTGCCCCCAAAATCATTCCAGTATTTCCTATGATGTGAAAAGAAAAACTGGGAAGCACTGGCTTAAACTTACATTTCAAACTGCAAAAACAACATCCTGAATGATCTCATATCCAACTTGAACACAAGGTAGAAAAATGAAAGTAAAATTGCTTTTGAATTTGCTTTTCTCAGGATATTTTCCCTTTTGAAGGTGAAATACTGGGCAATTAAGCCCATGATAGTGCTCTACATGTCACAGAAGTTTGAACTAAAACTGTAAACAATGAATGTTAAATTTCTAAATTCAGAAATTGGGCATCTTCAAACTGAGCAAAGGACTCCCCAATTTTGGGTGAAATGTATTTTAGAAAAAGTTTGGCAAACAGGAATACCTACGTATACTGTACTGTGCCTCAAGCAGAGAAAAGTTCTCAACTCGAAGCGACAACTATAATGCTAGTCGCTAATTAGCATTATTACTTTTATCACATCCTATATTTAGTAGCCTGGGCTGTGCAGAATAGCCAAATGAATAAGTCATTTGAGGACAAAACACTGTCCAACATCATTAAAACCCATTTTCAGTACCTTTTCTTATTACATGAGTTTTCACACATTTAACACACATTTAGCACAACTGGGACATCTTAAGAACTAAAAATCTTTTACTTATTTATTTCATTTTTTAAAGTAATTTCTACACCCAACGTAGAGCTCAAACTCACGACCTGGAGATCAAGAGTCCCATGTTCTACCAACTGAGCCAGCCAGGCACCCCAAAGGGCTTAAACTCTTTAAGGCAGAGAAGCCCCAAACCTTGGGAAATAAACAAAGATGAACCAAATACCATTATGTTTTTATGGTTCACAAAGACCCAAGCCTTACTGGGATTTATGCTTGGACCTGCATCCACATGAATTACTCTTTAGATAAGCCACATTTCAAATTAAACACTTACATCCTTGATACTGGACTCTACCTACTTTGCAAATAAAATTATAAGCTATCTGGCCAGATTTCTACAGGGTTAGACAAGTGCCTGGCACCTAATAAGCACTCACAAATATTTGCTGAATGATTTCCCAGTGGCTCTACCTTCTTTGGGAAGCATTATGAATTCTGGCCCACCTTTTTCTTTACAGAGGTCCCGGATACAAAAGCAAACCTGAACTGTTTCATTTCAGCAAACTTTCTAAACATAGTTGCCATCTCACCTCTTAAAAGTCCTTACATTCCAAATCTTTCATTAAAGATAGTAGACTCAAATCATACTAATAAATGGTACTAGAAGTGATGCTCAACAGGATCTCACGTTTATTGAGAAGTGATTAATGGTAAAAAGAAAGGCAATGCCCTTTCCTCATTGGCTGAACAAGAAACTGAAGAAACATTCACTACACGTTTTACAATATTTTTCTCTTCCAAAATGCATTTCTGTAAACAAATTTTTACCACTGTTCTTAGCTTTGAAATCAAATTAATCCTGACTTAATCAGTATAATGTACAAGAACAGAAAATTTCTTAGGACTCCTAGTAGTTTACTTTGAGTAACAAAGGGTCAGAGAAAATGAACCACCCTTAAAGACACAACCTTGGGTAACACTGTTAAATTCTCCAAGACAAAAATTCTTCATAAAAATGTTCTTCCAGTTCGGAAGGGGAAAAACCAAATTCCCACTTTCTGGGGTGGAGGCCCAAAATCTTCGAAACTCAAGTGTTCTCCAAGTGCAAATGTCAAAATGGGGAGAGGAAAGGGTTTAAAAATTAGAGAAAACTGTATGCACTTACGGACTTTAAAATCCGAAAAACATAGTAAAAAGACAAAAAAACAAAGCATTATGCTCTGAAATCACAACCAAAGCCAAAATAAAAGGGACATTTTTCACCTAAACTACCTAGAGGGATTTTTTGTTTAGTTTTTTCTTTTTCTTTTTTTTTTCATTTTCCAGTTAAGTCCTATGTCTTTTGTGAAATTCCAATACTTAAACTGCAAGTCTGCAATCGTCTCTGAAGTCAATGAGATTAAGAAAAAAGTCCTAATTCTCTTGAAGGTCATTTTTTTCCTCTTAGGATATGCAGATGCAACCGTTGCTGCAGTCTGTGGAGAACTGCCTTTTATTTGCCACGACCTTGACGTTCCTACAGAGGTTAAAAAAAAAATGAAATCATTAGTTAAAACTTATCTGAACATGCTTAAAAATTAGAACTTTATAAACAACTCAATAGAAATTTAGTTATTTGTGCTAGATAGAATACTCCTTACAAATAAAAACTTTTACTTCCTGTATTTTAAACCAAAGTAGTAACACTCAATCACACCAATTAATAAAAAAAATGTTTTTCACTTTAAAATTTCTTACATGACTGAACAGATTTATTTTCCAACTATAGTTGGTTTAGGCTAATACTTGTCAGTCCCCCAAAATATGAACCCTTGGAAGTAATTCAAACATAATCAAAAGCCTAAAGAAGGAAAGCAGCATATAAGGAATACTAAAAAAAACAAACAAAAAAAAAAAACAAAAAAAAAAAAAAAAAAAAAAAAAAAAAAAAAAAAAAAACAAAGAACACCTAACAAGGCTCTAGGCATATTCACAGGTTTCAATTTCCTTCTTTTATGAAATGAGGATACATATCTCACAAGACTGTGGAAGAATTAATGGACTGACATACAGAAAGCTCTTAGTCCATAACAAGAAAGAAAATTATCCTCTTAACCCCTAGGGACAGTTTAAAATCCACTTAGAGACAGAATTTTGAAAATTGACTGCAATACTTAAGTTTTCCCTGAAAAAAATCTACATGCTTATTTCTTAGTAAAAATCATTCTTTATGTGCCTTTCATAAATTTATCCTAAACAGCCTCCCATTTCACACACTACCTCATGTATTAGAATTTTTTAAACTATGATTCAATCCATGTGCCTTTTAAAAGCGAAAACATTAAGAAGCACAAGGCCTGAACTTATTACTTGATTCATCAATCTGTTGGAGTAGAATCAATCATCTGCTCCCATTTACCCCATGATAAATACGATTCCTACTAAGAACAGCAACTACCACTTATGGGATTCCATGTTCCAGACACTGTACGTAATAATGATCTTCATAACCACCCTGTAAAGACTATTATTCCTGTGATAAGAAAACTAAAGTTCAAAAAATTTACTTGACCAGGATTACCTAATAAGAACCAAGATTCAAACCTAGGGCTATATATGACTATATAGGCTCTTTCTCTACACCAAGTTATTACAAATATTTATATAAAAATCAACAAAGTGAAGCTTTGTGATGAACAGACTACCCCCACCACTAAATTAATCCATAGATACAAAAACAGTATTAAGAGCAGTTATCTTTTTCTTTAAATAGACTCCCAGCATAGAGCCCAATGCAGGACTTGAACTCACAATGCTGAGATCAAGACCTGAGCAGAGATTATGAGTTGGACACTTAACCCACTGAGCCACCCAGGTACCAAGTTACCTATTTCTGATGTTCCATTTCACATATCTGGAATTCAGGGATAAACTCACCAACATACCAAGATGTGGGATGGATGGATGGATGGATGGATGGATGGATGGATGGAGATTATAGAAGTTTTATTTATTTATTTTGAGAGACAGAGTGCGCAGGGTAGGGCAGGGGCAGAGAGAGAATACCAACCAGGCTGTCACTGTCAGTGCGGAGCCTCATGCGGGGCTCAAACTCACAAACTGTGAGATTATGAACTGAGTCAAAGTCAGAGGTTTAACTGACTGAACCACCCAGGTGCTCCTGGGATATTATTTAAGTCATTGTAACATTTCAAATTTAATAAAATAACTCACCCATACACTCCTATCTCTTGAAATTAAACCCAATTCAAGAATAAGAAATTCAGTCCAACACAAAAAAGACCTCAAAAGTTTTGATTCCCCTCATTTTTTTGCCCTTCCTGTATAATCTTCCAAAGTTTTGGTAATAAACATACTGGTTATAATAGGAAATTGCAATTAAAAAAAAATCTATGCAGCTGACCAAAGTCAAGCTTTATTGTTTATTTATTTTTGACACAGAGAGAGAGAGAGAGAGAGAGACAGAGCATAAGCAGGGGAGGGGCAGAGAGAGAGGGAGATACAGAATCCGAAGCAGGCTCCAGGCTCTGAGCTGTCAGCACAGAGCCTGACGCAGGGCTCAAAGTCACGGACTGAGATCATGAACTGAGCCGAAGTTGGACGCTCAACTGACTGAGCCACCCAGGCGCCCCCTAAGTCAAACTTTAAACAGCACTTCACTTCTCATTAATTTTAAGCTCATCTACCTGGTTTTATCCTTCATAATTTGGATGGATACGATTTACCTAACCTGTCTTCTATTATGGACCAAAATCTACCCTTGGGCTTCAGAAAATCTGGATTTTTCTTTTGTTTTTTAATGTTTATTTTAGAGAGAGAGAGAGAGACAGAGATACTGCACACGATCAGGGGAGGGGCAGAGGGAGACACAGAATCTGAAGCAGGCTCCAGGTTCCAAACTGTCAGCACAGAGCCCGACGTGGGGCTTGAACCCACAAACCAGGGCTTGAACCCACGAACCCCTTCCTTCCTTGATACTTAACTACCACAGTTTGCATTATCCTTATAAAATCTGCACCCACAATTAAAAAATTAAATTGCATTATTGTTTTATGTAAAATTAGTCCCAACTCAATCAAGAGCTCCTACAAAGCAAATAGGTCTTCAACTAACCTCACTCACAAACTACTTATGAATTTAGCAATAGGTAACAGGCTACAGCTGACATTTATTTATTTTTAATATTTATTCATTTTTGAGAGACAGAGAAAAACAGAGCATGGGGGGGGCGGGGGAGGGTGGCAGAGAGAGAAGGAGACACAGGATCTGAAACAGGCTCCAGCTCTGAACTGACTCAGCACAGGGCCCAAGGCGGGGCTCGAACCCAGGAACCATGAGATCATAACCTGAGCCAAAGTCCAATGCTTAACTGACAGAGCCACCCAAGCACCTTCCCTACAGATGACTTTTAAATAAAATTCTGGTGCTCATCACAAGAAAACAAATCATTAACTATGCCAAGTGACAGATGTTAACTTATTGTGGCAATCATTTATATCTAACCATTACACTGTATACCTTTAAACTAATACAATGTTATGTCAATTACATCTCAATAAAACCAGGAAAAAAATTCTGCCTACTATCTCTTATTTTAATATAATGTAACCCCTAGGAATACAAATAAACGTATGTACCCCAAACTGCACTGCTAAATTAGAAAAACTAGAATTTGCTAAGAATGCAAACTGGTGCAACCACTTTGGAAAACAGTAGGAAGGTTCCTCAAAAAATTAAAAACAGAACTACCCTATGAGCCAGCAATTACACTGCTAGGTATTTATCCAAAGGATACAGAAGTGCTGTTTGGAAGGGGCACATGCACCCCAATATTTATAGCAGCACGACTGACAATAACCAAACTATGGAAAGAACCCAAATGTCCAGCGACAAATGAATGAATGGATAAAGATATGGTACATATACACAATGAAACATTACTTGGTGATCAAAAGGAATGAAATCTTGACATTTGCAACAACATGGATGGAGCTAGGGTGTATCATGCTAAGCGAAATAAGTCAGTCAGAAAAAGACAAATATCATATGATTTCACTCATGTGGAATTTAAGATACAGAATGGATAAATATAAAGGAAAGGAAGCAAAAATAATATAAAAACAGGGGGAGACAAAGCATAAGAGACTCAAATACAGAGAACATACTGAAGGTTGCTGAAGGGGTACTGGGTGGGGGTATGGGCTAAATGGGTAAGGGACATAAGGAGGACACTTGCTGGGATGAGCACTGGGTGTTATAAGTAAGTGATGAATCACTAAATTCTATTCCTGAAATCATTATTACACTATATGTTAACTAACTTGGACTTAAACAACAACAAAAAAAGATATATATATTTATGTGTGTATACATATGATGTAATCATCAAAAAAAAAAAACCTAGACATCGCTAAATTTGTTTTTTCCTAATATAGTTATATGTAAGTTTATGAGCATGCTTAGTAACAGCATTTACAGTATTTAGTCAGAAGAAACTCAAACCAGCATTTTGCAATTGCACTTACTGCATCATCAGATTTTTAAAACTAAGTCTTTTCTTCTTCATAATGTGCTAAGTCCCACAAATATCTATGCTCAGTTTTGCCCCAAATACAATATAAAACTATTCCTGAATCTTAACTACACAATGATACCAAGAAGGCAAGTACAAACTTCTGTCCTAACGTAAACCTGTATGCCAGGTTTATTTTAAATTACACAAATTACATACAAATACATGACATTAGTGGTCTTAATCTCCTGATCAACATCAAGAAAGCATTACACTGATACAATTCAGCAAGCTGAATTAACTGGTATTCTACTTCCAAATACAGCTTTGATGTATACACGAAAATTAAGCTTATATATTTACAAATAATAAAGATAACATCCATCTTCTCAGAGATTATAAAGATATTTAAGCATTCACATCACACTACCTTGAAAAGTAAAATAAATTTAGCACCAATAAAAAAGCAATTCACAGGATTTTAAATACTAGATTTTAAAAATATTTTCATTAGGGTGCCTTGCTGGCTCAGTCCGCAGAGTATGCAACTTTGCAACTTTTGATCTTGGGGTTGTTGAGTTTGAGCCCCATGCTGGGTGTAGAGATTACTTAAAAATAAAAAAAATAATAATAAATCAAAATTAAATATTTTCATTAAAAAATTATAGATTGGAAACAGAAGCAATGGGATCTTGCTTGAAGGGCTTCCCACTGCCCAAATCTGTGACAATTAGAGCATTACATAACCTTAATATAATAAGTAAACTATCATAGTAATATCTGAATTAGGCAACAATCAGCAATGGATGCTAAAACTAAAGGGTGAAAATTTGATGAGGAATAAGATGTTTACAATCTCAAACTATTTTCCCAATTAAAAGAAAAATAGCTTTATCTTCGAGAACTTGATGACATTTTAAATAAGTGATCAAAATTAACATTCCCAGTAATGGAATAAACTGTCTTCTAATGTGAGGCACTGAGGACACGAAATCACTTCTGTA